GTTCTTGACTGAATGACCTAACCTGTCTACAGCTAGGACGTAGTGCTGGCCAATGAACTGGGAAAGCTTTGTTTCCTGAACTGAGAACATTTAAAAGGAATCGATGCTCCCACTCATCTTCCTCCCTATACACTTCTTCCTGCCTGGAAAGTGAACACAGGGAATGGGCTATTACAGCTCTGTGGTGATGCCAAGATAGTAAGCACAAAGAAAAAAAGTCAACTTATCGGAGTTGACTCCCTATAAACTATACCACTAGAGGTGGCGATTGGTGGTGGTTGCCATTGGGTGGACCATGACTCAGAAAGACCTTGTGAACAATAGATTGAAACTTGTCCTATCCTGTGCCATCCTATCTCCACCATGCTCAGTTTCACTGTTGCAGTCACTATGTCAATCTATCCCATTGAGTGTCTTCCTCTGTTTCACTGACTTTTGACCTTTCCCAGCATAATGTCTTTTTCCAAGGAACATGCCCAAGGAGAATGGGAAAGCAGAAAAAGGAAAAGACTGCAGCAATATCACTGAGGCACGTCCACTTCTCTGAACTGGTCACACCTGTATTATTATGTCAGCTAAATTCATTCCTTTATGCTTCTGACACAAGCCAAATACATCCCTGCATTATTGACTTCTTTGTCTACTGTCCATTTGTCATACTTCTTTGAAAAAGCAACCTTCCTAAAAAATGCACAGAACATTTGCCAAACTGACATCTCCAAACGGTGTCTAAGGGGTATGTATATGATTTTTCTCCCCAACGAGAATTTTTTTTCTCTCAATTTCCATTTCAGTCAACGTTTTTGGTTGGTTGGTTGGTTGGTTGGTTGGTTGTCTCTGTGTAGTCAAATGTACTCTTAACTAATATATCAGAATTCTCAACCAGGAGACATTTGGAGTGGGAGCATTCTTGATTGTCACAATGACTGAGGGATACTATTAATATTTGAAAGGCAGGGAGCTATGTCTTGACTTGCCGTGTGAAGCCCACCCAAAATATCAGTACTCTCCCTATTGAGAAACACTGCAAAGTTCCAAGAGTAACTTGCACCTGGCTCCTTCCATTCATTGTCTCAGAACATCATCCCTCCTCATGGCTTCCAAATCTTTTGTATATCCCAGATGAGATGGATAACTGTGGGTGGTGCAAGGAATTCACACTTGACTACTAGCCTAAATGGTAGTGATCTGCTTCCATATAAGATCAAAGACAAGAAAACTTTAAGAAATAGCTGCACTCTGAAATACACAGGGTCACCAGAAGTTGGAATTGATTCAATAGCAATAAGTTTGCTTTGTCTTGTACTTCTTTACTAAAATTCTGCCCCACATCCTCTAGGATTAAAGAACATTTTTCCTTAGGGCTCCCCAATGTTCACTGGTTGTTTATTGCCACCAAGTTGGAACCTCCAGTGGGTTTTCAGAGGCAGTAAATGTCACTGGAGAAGAATGCCCATCTTTCTCCCCAGGAGCACCTTGTGGATTAGAACCACTTGCCTTTGGATTAGCAGCTTAACTCTTTACGCACTAGGCCATTGGAGCTACCTGCTTCCCTAGCTGGCAAAAATGGTTGGAATCCATCAAAAGGCTCTTAGAAGAAAAGCCTGGTGATTTACTTCCAAAAGATCACACCTATTGAGAATGGTAATTGTTCCAAATGATGCAACATTCCATACTATGCTACGTGCTGACTCTGAGAAGAATGGGAATCCCAGAACATTCGATTGTGCTTATGCAAAATCTATACTTGGACCAGGAGGTAGTCGTCAGAACAGAGCAAGGAAACACTACTGCATGGTTTAAAATTGGGAAGGGTGTACACCAGAGATGTGTCCTATTTCCACACCTTTTCAATCTATATGTGGAATAGATTATCCATGAGGCTGAGCTCTATGAGGAGAAATGTGGCATCAGGATTGGAGGAAGACTCATCAACAATCTGCATTATGCAGATGACACAACCCTGCTTGTTGAAACTGAGGAAGATCTGAAGCGCTTGCTGCAGAAGGTCAAGGACTGCAATCTTCAATATGGATTAGAGCTCAACATCAAGGAAACAAAGATTCTCACTACTGGGCTGATTGGCAGCACCATGATGGATGGAGAAGAGATTGAGATTGTTGACAGCTTCAGTTTGTTTGGCTCTGCAATCAACACTCTTGGTACCAGCAGCCAAAAGACAAATTACATTGGGAAAGTCAGCTGTCAGAGACATCTCTGAAGTATTCAAGAGCAATGATGCCATTCTGGAGACTAAGGTGCACCTGATACAGGCCATGTCTTTGCAATCACTTGTTATGCATCAGAGAGCTGGACAATGACTAGGGATGATAGAAGGAGAGTTGATACTTTTGAGCTTCGGTGCTGGAAAAGAGTGTTGAATACACCATGGACTGTAGGAGAACAAACAAGTTTGTCCTGGAGAGGGTAAAGCCAGGCTGCTCCTTGGAGGCAAGGATTCTGAATCTTCATCTGACATACTTTGGATACGTTGAAGGGAGAGACCAGTCCTTGGAGAGAGACATCATGCTTGGGAGGGTGGAGGGCCAGCGCAGGAGAGGAAGACCTTTGATGAGATGGATTGATTTCATCACTGGGGCAATGGGGGTAGGTATGTCAGAGACAGTGAGATTGGCAAGGGATAGAGCAGGGTTTAGGACAATTGTACGTAGGGTCACTATGAGTCGCACACAACTTGATGGGACATAACAACATCAACATACATACAAGTAAATGTTTATAATAATTAAAAATTAAAACCAAGTGTTTGGAAAATTAAGACATCATGTAGTCTTGAGAGGTGTGGGTGTGGAGACCAACCTCAGTCCAGAGCAGCCAGAACCAATCACTCTGCAAACTGAGGTGCTGTTGCCCAGATCCTATCTGCACAAGCCAATTTGTCTTATTCATTAGCAATAAACAGAGCGGTGAATTGCGCATTGAAGTATTTTATGTTTCAGGTTCCAGAAATAATACATTAGACACTCATAAAACACATATTTCTTTAATGCCAACAAGAACAATTCATAGGAAAAAGAACAGCTTTGCTGAATTATCACCTCATTAAAACTGGCATTGAGGAATTACTTCATAGAAGACTGGTATGCGGCCTGATTATACCCAATTAGAAACAAAAATGTTGAAATTTTCCCTTTCATGTTGTAAAACAGACATTTCCTGCATCAATCCTTATGGAATGAGAATTCAGAAAGTAACTGAGCGTAGAACGGACTATAAAGCCAAATGTTTTTATTACTTAACTTAGTACTGAAGATCTAGTTTCAGCTAGACTGTAACATCTACTACATATTAAATCTCATATAGCAAGTATTTTCTTTTATTTATATGTTATTTGTAAATGGATTTAATTTTCATAGTTATATAAGACTTGTGTTACAAGCTGACTGTGTACCTATTCTAATTATAGGGTAACAGAAATAATTTAAGTCAACACCACAAGTTCCACAGAATGATTGTTTAAGAAAAAAAAAAAAGAACCAGCTGTCATGGAGCTAATTCCTACCCTTGGTTACTACACGCACTACAGAACAAGACTGATGTATAGGTTTTTCTTAGTTGTAACTTTATGGCAACGGATCGACAGACCTTTCTTCGACTGAACCTCTATGTGTATTTAAACTGCCAACCTTTGCATTAGTGTTATTGTTATTGTTAGGTACCATCCAGTCAGAACCGACTCATTGCTGACTTTCAGTGACTTTTCAGAGGCAGTAAATTGCATAGGAAGAGACTGCCCATCTTTCTCTGGCAAAGCAGGTGGTGGATTTGAACCACATGCCTGTGGGTTGGCAGCATGACTTCTTACCTCTAAGCCACCTGAATCCCCTTGCATTAGTAGTAAAGTGAAAACCATATGTGCCTCCCCAACTTTACAGAATAATTATTCTAGCTTTAAAAATGCAACTTAGGCCTTATCTTCCAAGAAGCTCCTTAAGAAATTCTTTTTTAGCCACTCAAAGCTACTTGCACAGCATTAAACCACTGGAGCTCCCCTCTTCATTCACAATAGTAAGAAGACGAAGACAGCCCAAATGTCCATCAGCAAATAGATAGATGGAGAGTTTGTGGTACTTTCACACAATGGAATATTATGTACTATTAAAAAAACAACGAAAAATTAGTGAAAAACCCCAAAACCTACCCAAGAAGGGCGAGTCTATAGAACATTATGCTGAATGAAAAAACTCAGTCACAAAAGGACAAATACTATGTAAGACTGCTACTGTGGAAATAGTGAGATTGAGGGTGTGATGGGAAAGCAGAAACAGAATGTACAGACTAGAAACAGTGTAAAAGATCAGGGGAAGAGAGGACCAACCTGCAGGAAAAAGACAAACAGATAACAGAGATACTGCAATTAGCAACAAAATTTGCATAACGGAAGAAGGACGGGCAATCTCCTCCTGTGGAATTAACTGCCTCTGAAAACCCACTGGAGGGTCAGATATGGGTCAGTAAACAGCAAAAACAACAATATATATAAATGTATGAAAACCAGTTAAAAAAAGAAAAATTACTTGCATATAGTTCACCAAACCCAGCAGGTTATTCAATGATGTCCTTCCCTCTGCCCCTTTCTTCCACTTCTTCACTTTACTTAAAAACTGCTGGTTCCTTAAAATTCGGGTCAGGAGACTGAGGAGTTTTCCCTGGCCCTCTCAGCCACCCCAGGTATGACTGGGGCATCCTTCCTGTGTGCTGCCACAGCCCCATACACTGTCCTGTATCAAGCCAAGCTGAACCTGTGTGGGGATCCCTGATTTATCAGCAAACCGTATGTCTATTCAGTATCCCTCTCCTTTCATTGTGCAGAGGAGACAAGGGAGGCTCAAGGAAGTCAGGTGATTTGCCTAAGTTTGCAACAGGAATTCAGCAGTAGTGATGGGTTAGGTGCCCTTACCACTCCTCAAGACTAAACACACAGCTGTTTCTCAGAGCCACAGTGCTAAAGACACACTTAGGAAAAGCAGTTAACGCACCTTCAGTTTTTCCTTGAGGATTCGACTTCTTTGTAGTTTTAGTGTCTCATTTCTTTCTAAAACAGCCTCCCGCTGGCTTTGAATAGCTTGCTAGGTTGTGAAAGAAAACAAGTGTGACAAAGAGCCCAGTTTACCACTAGAAACAAAGGGATGAGCCTCCTTCTTTTCAGTTGATCTTCATTTGCCCCCATAATCACACAGCAAATATTGGATTTATATAGTAGTAATAATGAGATACATTCTTTTAAAACAATTAGTCCGTACTTACATTTCCCACTTTCCTTTCCCTGAAAGGAAAACAGAAAAAAATAAGCAGTTACTTAATTTGTATTATGATATCCTGGTAGTCTTGTGACCTTAGCTGTCACTCCCAAATGCTCTATCTTATAATTCCTTCTAAAGTCCATTGGTCAAAACTGTCCTTATTTCTCTCACTGTTTTATCTAATATGAAATTTCCCAGTAACAACACCTCTTGTTCTAATCACATTGCAACCTTTTTGCGCCCCCCACAGATCTTTGTATATGAGTTTTGTCTTCCACATCATTTTCCATCCTCTTTTGTATTCTTCGTCTTCCCTCATCATCACCCATACTCTTTTGTAGTGTGAGCTAAAAAACTCAGTATGACTCTCGGAATCTGCAGCCTACTATGATGCTCAACAGCTCAATAAACTAGATCCAACTCTCTTCCGTTTTAGTATTTGCGCTGGAAAGGACTAGTTTACGGTCTTATTCTGTGGTGGTGGCGGGGAGTGGGTAAGCCAAAAGTAGCAAGAATTTGGATGATTGGGGGGGTGTAGGAGCCTTAACCTACTTCAAAGAGGAGGCTTCTTCTGGTTGGTGTATTCCTGGGGCCAGCAGTCAAACTTGAGTTTCAGATAATGTAGAAGGAAATTATAAAGGTGACAGGCAAATAAGCTGTTAGAGTAGAAGAGCGTCAGAGATGCTACATCCTGTGACCACACACCCACATATTCAGACAGTCTCACTTAGGCTTGTTGTTGTTCTGTGAGTATTTCGGATACTCCCTCACTTTGGCTTAGTCTGTAGGGAACTGAACTGCTAACACCTCATGGTGACTCTCTGGCCACTGGAATCTACCAGCGTCTTTGAGGAAGAAGGACGGGCAATCTCCTCCAGTGTGATGTCTAGCCTTCAAAACCCTGCTGGAGCACCGGCTAAGAGTTAGTTCTAATTCAAAGCCAATGAGAGAATAGCATTTTACTTTCAAAAGGGTGCCTAGGTGGAGATGACTATTGAGCGTCCCATGAACTCCCAGAAGGACAAGCCCGTTTTGGAGGAAGCATGGCCAGGGTACTCCTTAGAGGTAGGGACAATGAAACTTCATCTCACGTGAAAGGGAATGTTGTCAGGAAAGATCGGTCATGCTAGGAAAAAGGAAGGTCACAGAAAGAGAGAAAGGCTCTCAATGGGATGAACTGACACAGTGACTGTAGCAATGGGCTTGAGCATATCAGAGATCCTGAGAACGGTGAAGGCCAGGGCAGAGCTCAAATCTGTTGTTATCTGCTGTAGTCGACTCGAAGACACTAATGACAACAGGTGTCCCAGAACGTTTACACTTAAGTATAGGATGACAGAAGAAGATTTGATGCCTTTGAGCTATGGTGTTGGAAAAGAACACTGAACACGCCACGGATGCCAAAAGAACAAATATGTCTTGCAGAAAATAATAGTCAGAGTGCTCTTTGGAGACAGATGATAACGTTTCATCTCATACACTTTGAGTATGTGGTTGGGAGAGGCTATTCCTTGGAGAGGGACATCCTGGCGAAGGAGAGGAAGATCCTCAGCCAAATGGATCATCAGAGTGACTGCTGCCACGAGCTTTACTGTGTCAGGAAGTGTGAGGATGCAGGATAGGGCAGGGCTCAGATCTGTTGTTCACAAAGTCACAACGAGTTGTGATCAACTCGATGGCACCTCACAACAACAATAGCATAAAGGTTGACAGTTCAAACACCCTCAGTGCTGCCACAGAACAAAGGACTGGCAATTTGCTTCCATAAAGATTACAGGAAAACCGTATGAAATAGTTTTACTCTGTAGACATAGGGCCACCTTAAGACAGAATCTACTCCCCAGTAGCAAGTTTGGAGTTTTGGTTTCATTTTCAAATATGTCCCAATTAGGAAGATAAGTTATGCAGTCACCTTTGTCAGAGGGGGAACAGAGATCTACACAGAAACTAATTTCTCAGTGGACTCATGAGGTACTGAAGGTTTGGTGGACACAGCACCCAATCAAATTACTGCCTATAAAGTTTCTGTGCAAGAAGTAGAAACTTATTTTTAGAAAAATACTACTGTAGTTACAATAACAAAATATTCGTCTTATGCCTAGCGTGCATATATCAGTGCCTGTAAAGTTAAACTGTAATTTACTTTTTTGATCCTTCTAATGCTCTCAGTCAGACCTCTGGTGGCCTCGTGGTAAGAAACTGTTCTGCAATCGCAAAGACATGCAGCTTGAATCCACCAGCCTCTTTGTGGGAGAAGGATAGACAATCTCCTTCTGAGTGATTTACTGTCTCCAAAAACCCGCTGGAGGGTCAGCTGTGAGTCAGTTCTAGCTCGACAGTACAAAACAACAACAATGCTCTTGGTCAAAGCCATTATTACTACTCAACTAGAGTAATGTTTTGAGCTGGTATTTTGAAAGTCACTGATTTTTGTCAAGTTTTCAGGTGCTTTTGCTACAATACTGTTATAATTAATATTTGTGAATCTATGGCAGTAACTTTTTCGAGAGTGAAGTAGCAGCTAATGGAAAAGAAGAAATAGTTAAAAAGGGCTTCCGCTCAGTTATTAACAATGTTGTAACTCAAAACAAAACAATTTTGTTGTTAGCATTCATATAATCTAATACCATAGGAAAGCAATCTACAATTGCATCTATCACATATTATTCTATGATTGAAACTAATCTTAAGCATTACATGGATGAGTCTGGTATAGGAGGAGGTCTCTGGGGCACGGGTGGCACCAGAGTTCCTACACTGAGGTCCACTAACTGAGTGACACCATTGTCCCTTCTCTTCCATATTATCATCTTAACACTCAGCTCAGAAATATTTATCTTTCTTTGTTATTTGTTAGACTAGCCTTTTGTTAGAATGGTTTTCTTTTTGGCCTAAGCTCCACAAATTTGAAAGCCTTGTTTCTATGAGGTAGAAATCTCAAGAGTAAATAAATTTGAAACAGAATCTAATCCTTCAAAGCTGTACCACGTCAGACAGGACTGCAGGATGTTAGCTCTAGTTGTGAGACGGCCTATGGTTTCCAGGTCTGTGGGGCGCAGGCAGGACCATCACACTGCTCTGCATGCTCAGGAGGTATCATTAGCATCACTGTCCACGCGAGTGGCATCCTTGGAACCATATAGGAGACAACAGCTGCCTCATGGTTCAAGTTCCTAAAACAGTCCACACAGAGATCCTAATGTCCCAAGAACTCCCCCAGACCTACTGTTTCATCTCAGCCACTTCCCAGAAGTCCACACTATCCAACCGCATCATGAAGTCAAGTTCTGTCATTCCTTAAGTTGACATCCCTGGAGGAAAGCTGAGGCTGGGGCCCACAGCGCCATACCTTAAATATTCTGGCAAGTGGAGTTTGTCGGTCTTGGTGACCACCAGGGCAATGTCCTTGTGGCAGCCCCGTTGGCAGGCTCTGATGCTCTCATTGAGGAGGTCTTCATGGGCTCGTCCCCCAGAAGCTCTTTCGACGTCACTGATCACCCAGATCACTGAGCACTTGTCAATGGTCTGTAAACATGAGTACAGTGTGTGTGAGACGTGAGAATAGTCTTCCCTCCATGGGACAGACTCAGCACTCTCTGCATGTACAATTCTGTGGCATTTGTCACACTGTGTGACCTATCTCATTCTCCTTTCTAAATTATTCCACTTCTATTCCTCACAGCCCTCTAAGCAACACCTCTTCTCTCCCCACCTTCCAACCCCTATTAACCACTAAGAATCTTTGGCTTATATTTGTTTGTTTCATATAAATCATATATATCATACAGTATTGTTCTTTTTCAGTTTGCTTATTTTGTTCAGTATAGTGTTTTTAAGGTTAATTTATGCTGTGGGATATATCAGAATGTCATTTCTTTTACAACTGAGTAATTAATACTTACTTCACTGAGTGTATTCACCACATTTCATTTCACATCTTTTGATGTGCAGTTGGGTAGTTGCCACCTTTGGGCTGTGGTGAAAAGTCCTGTAATGAATAATGGCAGCGAAGACAGAACCTGCCCTGGCTGTCCTCTGGCTCAGCACCCATCTCTCCCTCCACTCCCTCTTCTCCCCACTTCCTACCACACTATGGTCTTGTCAGTTGGAGCTACTTGCTGTTTCTTTGATGCAACTTGCTCTTTCACCTCTGAGTCTTTGGATCCCACAGACTTACAGTGACCCCGTGAGACAGAGTCCAACTGCCCCATACACTTTCTAAGGCTGTATATTTTTCTCTAGCACAGCAGTTGGTGTGCTCCAACCACTGAACTTTTGGTTAGCAGCCCAATGCTCACCCCGCTGCACCACTCAGTCCCTGTTTAACTTGTACTTCTTCTTCAAGACTCTGTAAGGATACCCCAGGAAGGGGCTGACCATGCCTTCTCTGTACTCACCCTGATTCTTGAGCAGAGTTACCATACAGTGTTGTCCTCTGCTCCACTAGACTGTGAGGTACTTGATGGGAAAGCACTGTGTCCTCTAATGTGGAATCCACATCAGCTAGAGCACAGGGCTGGGCACATACTACATACTAGGAGCTTATGATGTGAATTATTGATGTTGGTGGTGGTGGTGTGTACCCTCCAGTGGGTTTTCATAGGCAGTGACCGCAAGGAAGCTGATTACCCACCTTTCTCCCATGCAGCAACTGTGGATTAGAACTGTGTACCTTTGGGTTGGCAGCACAACTCCTTACCGCTAAGCCACCAGAGCTCTCAAGATTGATAGAATTCAAATAATGAGTCCTCTATTGTCACATTCACCATTAGCTTGATTTACCTTTCAAAAATTATAGCTTTTCCAGAATTAGTTTTGGCCACATGCCTACCCCAAAGCTGTTACCTGCTGGCATCGTTTTGAAGACAGTTGACCTTCGCTGCATGTCTGGCCACTGCCATCATGAAGCAGCCAGGGAACATGGACCACAGGATTCAAGTAGCAAAGGTCAGTGAACATTCAATTACAACGGATTGCAATATGAGTATCATTTTTATAAATGTGCAGCTTTTTATGGGCAACTTAATCACATACTTTGTGACATTTCTTTTACAAAATTGTTTCACTTGTCTTATCTTTCTAAAGCAATGAAGAGCTGGTTCAGCTCAGGGGCTGCATTCATTTGCAAAGCATCAAAACAGTGCTTTGCATGTAAAGGTATGACAGGCTTGTGACTTCATAATGAAATCTTTCTCTTTCTTGACATTAATTGTTCTTAACAAGTGGTGATTCTGTACTCTAGAACATTTGGCAATGTCTGGAGGCATTTTAGTTGTTAAGACTTGGCAGTTGTTGTGGGACAGAAGCCAGAGAGGCTGCTAAGAATCCTATAATACAGTACACAAATCCACAGCAGCAGCAATAAAGAATCAGCCAATCCAAAATGTCAGTAACGCAAATGCTGAGAAACTTTAGTCAAGAGTTGTCATTATATGCCATCTAGTCACTTGTGACTCATAGAGACACTATGTATAACAGCTCTGAAACCTGTTCTATCTTGAGCCAAACTCATTGTTTCTGACACATCTACCTCTGTTATCCCAGTCACTGAGTCAAACCATCTCATCCAGGGTCTTCCTCTCTTGCACTGTCCTTCTACCCTTCCAAGCATGATGTCCCTCTCCAAGGACTGGTCTCTCCTTGCAACATTCCCTAAGTATGTCAGATAAAGCTTCAAAATTCTTGCCTCTTAGCAGCCTGCTTTTACCGTCTCCAAGATGAACCTATTTGTTCTCCTAGCAGTCCATGGTATATTCAATACTCTTTTTCAGCATCACAGCTCAAAGGAATCAATTCTTCTTCTATCATCCTTAGTTATTATTGCCCAGCTTTCTGATGCATAGCAAGTAATTGCGAAGACTGTGGCCTGGATCAGGTGCACCTTAGTCTCTAGACTGACATCATTGCTCTTCAATACTCTGGAGAGATTCCTGATAGCAGACTTGCCCCATGCAATTCATCTTTGCTTTCTTGGCTGCTGTTACCAAGAGTGTTGATTATAGAGCCAAGCAAACTGAAGCTTTTAACAATTTCAATCTCTTCTCCATCTATCAACAATGCTGCTAATTGGCCCAGTCAGTGGTGAGAATCTTTGTTTTCTTTACGTTAAACTTCAATCCATATTGAAGGCTGCAGTCCTTGACCTTCTGCATTAAATGCCTCAGGTCCTCCTCAGTTTCAGCAAGCAAGATTTTTTTCATATGGATAACGTAAATTGTCGATGAATCTTCCTTCAATCCTCAAAGATCTCACTCAGCCTCCCAGATGATCTGTTCCGCATAGAGGTTGAAAAGGTATGGAGATAGGATGCATCCCTGATGTACACCTTTCCTGATTTTTAACCATGCAGTGTTTCCATGCTCTGTACTGACCACTGCCTCCTGGTCCAAGTATAGTGAGTTTTAAACTTTTTTTAAAAGCAATGGAGCATTTTCCAAGTGAAATATTAGGAATAATTGCAATTTAGATTGTTGTTGTTATGTTATGTCATGTCAAGTTGGAACTGACACACAGATGACCCTTCAGAAAATAAGAGGCAATAAATTGCGGAAGATTGACTATCTTTCTTGAGGAGCAGCTGGTAGATTCAAATTATGTGCCTTTGGGATTTCAGAAGAGGATAGGGCAAGGTCCAGATCTGTGGTTCATAGGTTCACTTTGAGTTGTACTTGACAAAACCTAATAACAATAACCTTGCCACTGAGCCACTAGTGGTCCCTATTCCTAGCCAGTAAATAAGTAGTTGAGATGTACTGCCAACTCAAAGACAACTGGCTCAAATCTACCAGCTGCTCACCTGGAGAAAGTTGGGCATTCTCTTCCCATGCAATGTACAGCCTTGAAAACCCTTTGAAGGGTCATCTATGACTCGATATCAATGAGCTAAGTTTATTGACCCATGAGGCTCCATGAGCCTCTTAGCTTCATGAACTATTTAAAAAGCATCAGCCTACTTGCTTGAAAGCAAATAATCCAGGTCCAAAAAAGCAAGTAACTAACCTAAGGCCATAAAACTGGGCCCTGTGGGGGAGCTCTGGTGGCCTCGTGACAAGAAGCTGCACTGTAATCCCAGAGGTGCGCGGTTCAGATCCACCAGATGCTGTGCTGGAGAAGGAGGGGCGATCTCCTCCTGTACTAGTCAGATCCAATTTGACAATACACACACAAAAAAAAAACAATAAAAATTTTAAAAAATGTTTCAAAAAACCAACTGGGCCCTGTGGATGGACCGGCAGGCAAGAGGACAAAACCCCAAAATAGCTGCTATCTCCTCACAAACCAAATGATAAGCAACATGATGAATCTTCAGATTTCCCAGTGTCAACATGCATCATTGAGTCAAACTGACTCATAGCTGACCCTGCGGCAGCTTTTTAAAGGCAGCAAATTTGATTATATGGGAAGAGATTGCTGGTCTTGTTCTCATTGGGCAGCTGGTGGATTCAAACTGTGTGTCTCTGGTATGGCAACACAGCTCCTTACCACTAAGCAACAGAGCTCCATGACTGTAGACCACTACAGTGATAGCAAGCCAGAAAGACCCCAGGAGCAGGGCCTCTCTCACCTCGATGCTCCCCAAGGTCCTGGTAAACCAAGTAAGTGGCCACTGAGCGGACCCTGACTCGTGGTAATCCCACGTATGTCAGAGCAAAACTGCTCTCTACAGGGTCTCCCAAAGACTGATAATTTGCTAGTGTGTCTGCAGGCCTTTCTTCAGAAAGAAAGGTGGAATTGAACCTCCACCATGTTGGTTAGCAGCCAAGTGTACCACCCAGAGGCACCCCTGGTATAGTCCTGGTGCTTGATTAGTGTTTACTGACATGAGAAAAGGACTTTGTCACTAAGTGTCTACATTGTGCAAAAGCTCAGATTCAGGCCTTTGACAAGCTCCCCTGGATGGCACCTGACAACAGCAACGTAATCCCCTGACTGCCAAGATCTGGTCAAGTTAGAGTCACAGAAGATCCAAAAAGTGCATCTATAAAAGAAGAACAAAGTAGCCTAATGAATAGATGGGAGAATCCCCCCACTCCCAGCCTATAATGAGAGTGGGCCTTGGAGAAATTTAATATCATGCTTAAGACATTTATTAATGTCTTAGTATTCTTAAGGCATCTGCATTAATCATAGTTAAAACTGCCTTAGAGAAGGCAGAACGTGCTGCAGAGAGGTAGGGGAGGGCTCCCTGTGCTCTGTTCTCCCTGGAAAGAAGGGAGTCTTCAGTAAGTTCTTGTGAGGAAGATATATCACAAACCACAAGAACGCAGAGGAGCGTGATCTAAGCAAAGTATGCTTGGAACCATCCCTTTGCTTTGGCCCAGCCTCCTCAAAGTGCTAGTTCCAAGCCAGATCTGTTGGCTCCTATGTTCTGAGTGGCCTTTGATAAGCTGCCCAGTGTATCTGAATCAATTGCAATCAGCTCCATCCAGTGAGAGTCTGGCTGCCTCTCCAACTTGCCTCTCACTCAGACTCATTTGGAACTAACCAACGTTGATGCTTCCACTCCTAAGAGCTGAGGTCCTGCAGAAACAAGGGCTGAAGGGGAAAGACAATGGGACTACCCTCATCCTCAAAGAAAGTGGATGAAGGGGACAACCTAGTGGGAGGTAGTATATAGCGTTCCAGCTGAGAAGTTAGGAAATTTGCACTCTGGTTCCAATTTGGTCACTCAGGAGCTGTGTGGTCTTAGACAAGTTGCTTCCGGTCTCTGGGCCTTTCCTTACTCTAAAATGAGGCCACAGATTGGCTCATCTGAAAACTGGCATCTTGCTATAGGTCTTGACTGGAAACTATGGTCCTCCAGCTTACATTCTGGAGAAACCTGCCGATATTAGGTTTACAATTAGCAGAGAGCCAATCATTTGGCACCAATTTTTCTGGCAGCTGTTATGCCTATCATGACTCACTGATAACAGTCCACTTTCGAGTTCCCTCCAGCTTTGGTCCTGTGCTTCTGTGTTCTCTCTGCCTACGATACCCTTTCTTTCTTGGTTCACGTGACCCAGTCCCACCACTCCAAACGTTAAAGTCTAGCATGTTGTCATTGGGTGCCATCAAGTCAGAACTGACCCATAGCTGACCCTCCAGCAATTTTCAGAGGCAGTAATCGCATGGGAAGAAATGGCCTATCCTTCTCCCAGGGAGCATCTGGTGGATTCAAACCATGTTTCTTCATGATTGCAGTGCAGCTTCCTACCACGAGGCTACCAGCACTCAGCTACTGCCCTAGCTTTTCCAGACTTGTTTTCTGTGTCACCTCTGCTCTACATGACCCCTATCCTTCTTCCCTAGCTAACCCAGAGAAGACTCATCCTTTGGGATGGGAGTGTCAGAGACAGTGCGATTGGCACAGGACAGAGCAGAGTTTAGG